TTTAACCGAAGGGAACAGATCAGGCAACCCAAAGCCTCCTCCCAAGCTTACCATTTCGTTGAACCAACTTATGAACAAGCCTTGATCTCCACATGTCTTACCAAATGCAGCACGTGCAATTATGTTATTTGACAGTGAGAATATCTTGTGACTGAGATTGATGGGAAGGTCCCGGGAAGATGAAATAAATTGTAAAAGATTCTGTACTTCTTCTTCTCTAACGGATTTGAATGACTGCACGCGTTTAGCACTTAAGAGTTTAGTGACACAGATCTTTCGCATTTGTCTCCAGTAATCATTATAGGGAGAGAAGATAATGCTTGAGCCATCATAGGACATGACCTCTGTAGTAAGAATTTGAGGCCTTTGTGCGTAGTTGAGTTCGTGCTGGTTCGGCACCTCTTGGGCCAACTGTGGTGAGGAAATGACTACAGCCGAGACCTCACCGAGCCGGACATGCATCAAGGGTCCATGTTTCCTGGCTAGGGCCTTCAAGGCATGGTGTGGAAGAGAGCTGCCTACCAACTGGTGCAAGTTACCAATAAGGGGTAGCTTCCATGGCCATCTTCCAATTCTTTAGAATCAAGAACAAAGAGAGGAGGAAAGTTAGGAAAAGCAGGAGAATCATGAGTGCTGAACAGAAAAAATGGTCTATGTATCATATAAACCTTGTTTGAGTCGAGTGCTTAAAACTTCACGAGGCATAAGATCCTTTTATAGGAGTGAAGCAGAGTAGTGCCTGACATCTAAGGGAAAGGCAAAATAAAAATTAAATGAATAAATCCTCTTAAGATGGTATATGAAAATTATTGAAAATGCAATGATTCATTTTCAGTAACACCACATTTTGTAAAATTCGAGGACATGAACGTATTATGTCTCTATATATATCCCGAAAATGGTATACAAATTGATGGGGCGTTGTATCACATAGGACTCTATAGGAGTAGTAATTTTCATGCTAAAGATAATAGAAAAGACTTGTCACACATTTGTGAAAGTTGAGTCCTGGACGCATCTTATTCCATTAGTACGACGTGATAAAATTAGATTCAACTTGAATCAAATTGATTTATCACCATCACTTGGACAAATGGTGTAATGGTGTAGTCATCACCTTCACCATCACTATCACACTATCATTAACACTATCACTTGGCTCTTTAATAGCTACTTTTCAAGTTGGGGTTTGAGTGTGTCTTAATTATTGTAGAGGCGTGATTTTGTATTATGAGAGACAGATAGTATGGACCATGCAGATAATTTGCTACTTCTTAGGCTTGAAAAGTTATATGCTCTGAAGGACAAAATATATATTTTTTATTTATAAAAAATGTCCGCTACTTCTTAGATAATTTGACACAAATGTGAAACTTCTAGACATATTTTTTTAATTCTTTTGCATTAAAAATATAAAATTTTCACATAATAGAGCACAATTGGCAAAAAGTTTAGAATTTCTCTAGAAACAAGTATTAGGATAATTATTATGCAGTCTCAACTCACAATTTATTGGCCATAATTAAAAAAGCAATAGACCCTCTTTTTTTAGATCACCACAATGAACTGTGAGCAATTTTGTAGCATACGTGCCTCTGTTTAGTTGCCATCAGCAAATAAATGCGTCATGCAAAAATCTTGTTGAAAGCCTTTTCTACAAGAAAAGATAAGTGATGGACGGCGTGGTGCTGCCTGATGCACTCTGACTTCTCATTTTATAGGAGAGTTAATGGTAGTATCCACTTAAGGAAATTGTTCGCTTTCCTTGCCCATTTCGAATTGGAAGAGTTATCCAAGAGGGTGGTAGACTTTATCCTTGAGCTTATCCTACCCCTTAGGCTTTCGTCTCTCTTTGAGATTCTTTGTCGGTTCAAATATTATGTATCAGTTGCCCTATTCCCTAGCTTGTCTGTCACGCACATAAAACTTAAGAGTGGCTTCAAATTCCACATGATTAACAAATTAGCAAAACAACAACTATTATATTTCATTTAACCTATGATTTTTTAAACCGAGCCCTCTTTGACCGAGAGCTCTTTTTTTGCATAAGCCTTTTGTCCAAGAGCTCCTGGGCACTTATTGTCCAAGAGCTCTGTTATGCCAAGTTCTCTTTTTGACTGGTCAGATTTTTGCAAAAACCTGATTTTTACTTTAAAACCCTAATTTGCAATCCTATCCAACCTAGCATAAATGTACAAACTGTCTTTACTCAAACATACTTGTTCTAAAATGATGTTCTTATATAATTGCACATAGTTGCACTTGAAGTTCCGCATCCGACATTGAGACTCAAAAATAAAGAAAAATTAACTCGATCGAAGTCGTTTTAACAATGAAATTTGCCAATACAAAAACATGCATCTTACAAAGAGCTATTAAGAAACATGGTTAATACTTCAAAATCCAATCTCAAAATGTTGAAAATGGTTTTATTTCTCAATCTTTCCGGTGCTACATAATACATTTGTGTGTGCATATAATACATTTAATAAGACCATCTCAATTCATTCAAATGGAGTTTATTGCTCCTACTTCACGACTACCATTTAATACACAAAACTAGTGACACATTATAGTAACACCTGCATAATGAGTACACCTTATTCATACATTATAAAGTCTTTCATCATGCTAATGAGGATGCCGGAATGGCAATTAATTGCAAATCATTCTTTCTCCTTACACTTATTAATCCAAATATTTCTGTCATGTCCAGTTCTTCTGGCTTGATTCCATTTGGGACACTCCAGTCGAAATGATACAGCAGCTGAGCAAGTGCCAGTTCAATGCTTGCCATACCAAATGAAATCCCAGGACATATCCTCCGACCTGCCCAAAATGGGAGATATTCAAAATTTGTCCCCTTATAAGGAGAGAGAAAAACTGATTTACTGCTTTGCAGAGAAGATAAGGAGAGAGAAAAACAGAAGAGAGAGAATTTAGAGTAACTATTTTGACTTCTGACGTGGATATCCATCTAAACAGACACATAGATTCGGTGAGACAAATCGGTGTAACTATCATTTTCCAAAAATGTATCCATAAGAGACATACGTTTTTTTCCTGACATGTGAATATTATTATTTTTTGTATGGAAAATCTTATATTTTCTCTTAAACAATTGGAATGTCTCTTTTGAAAAAAGTGTGACTCATATTATTTATGTTTTCGGTAGTGCTATTGCGAGAGCTTATAAGCCAATAATTCTTATTTTTAGAAATTTGGGAAAGAGAATTAATTAAGAAAGAATCACTTGCAAGTAAGGAAACAAATCAAGCTTTTTTTCTCTCTTCTCTCCATGTTCTCTCTCTCTTGGTTAACCCTCAACCAATATGATGCCTATTTCTCTCTTAGTTTGAACACACAAACATGATAGATGAAGTTTAACTTACTAGAACGTAGTATGTCAGGAGCGAGGAAGGATGGAATGTAGGTGGAGAGACTCTTTGATTGAAAGACAAAGGGTTAAGTATGAGAAAGAAAGAGACAAATTCTTTGAGGTTAACCAAGAAAGAAAAAGACACACATTAGTTGAGGGTATTAACCAAAAACGAAAAAGAGAGAACTTGCACTTTGCACGTGGGGTAAAAGTCTACGCAACCAACAAATTGAGATTGCATATTCATTTGGTGATAAAATCTTTTTGAGATCCGATATTTGATCGAAAGAACTCCATCGTTTTAAGAAAGAGAAAAAAAAAAAAAAAAAAAAAAAAAATTGGAATTTCATTCAAAAAATGTGTAGAATATCTTGAGTCTTCTCAACAATTTGAATGTTATTCATGTTTTCATTGCTTAAAATGATCTTAGACGCAGTGATGACAAAGAAGTTTAATTTTAATTTATCACCCCATGGCACATAGTCAGAGTTGTGTGTATATTATTATATTGGAAGAATTTTTTTTATTATTATTATTTTTTCTTCAAAAATCAAATGGTTATCTTCCCCATCTTAGAGGAGGGATTCAAGTCCTGGTGTAACAATTAAAGTACTATTATTCATTTTTTATATATATTGTCCAATCATATATATATATATATAAAAATGATATGATTGCATCACAAGTTTTGAAATCTTTGACAACTTCACAAGTTTTAAAGTATCTCATTTTATGATATCAGATATCCATAAAATACGTATATGGCAATTAACCTTTAAAAAAAAAAAAATGATTGAAACAAATTTTGGAAATGTTTCATGATACATATTATTTTTTCTCGTGCTTGTAATTGTGAAAAAAAAAAAAAAAAACACTTTTGTTACCAACTCGGCTTATAGCCAGCAAGATCGCCTTTTGAATTCGACTATTAAGAAATAGAAAGAAAATTGGACATACGTTTTCTCCTAAACAATTTAAATATTATTATTATTCATGCATGGAAAATCTTATGTTTTTTCTTAAACAATTTGAATATTATTCATGTTTTTAATGCTTCAAGACCACCTGAGACGCAGTGGTTGACAAACAATCAGTCACCTCAGAGTTATGCGTGTACTATATTTGGTCATTGAAAAATCTACCAAAATGCCCTCAGAGTTATGTGTGTACTATATTTGGTCATTGAAAAATCTACCAAAATGCCCCCTGGAGGGGATGCTTTAAAAGTTATGACTTCTCATTCTCCAAGAGATCGTCTTCATGGTTCCCAGTCGTTTGTCTCTCGAAAAGCGGCGTACGAAATTTTTTAAAGGGAGATCAAGAGTTCAAGTCTCAAAAGAGACAGTGTGGGTGAGTCTCAACTAGGAAAAAAAAAAATTTTATTTTTCACTCAACGAGTACATCTATGGTCACAGCAGGATAACTAGCTTTCAAGAAGGTTCAAAATCATATAAATGCAAGTCCCTGCAACCTTTCTAACACAGTCCTATTTATGTATATGCTTAGTCCATTTTCATCTGCCATTTTTATTGATTTTTATTTTATTTTTTAGTAAACAAGTTGTGATGAAAATTTCAAACTAAATCATTTAAAAATCAATCCAAAAACAATTGCTAAAGTCTTGAGAATGATACTAAATGCAATTCAAAAAACTTTCAAAGAATCAAGATTAAATGGAATACATGGGTTGCTAATTCATCATCACCAGAGACATAACACCAAGAATTCTATTTGCTCATAACTGGACCACATGTGCCGATACGGAAGAGAACCCTCAACTAACAAGCTATTGTAACAGATGTTTTCCCTCTACTCAAAACTTGATATGCCACAATTTACACATTCACTGTCCCCTCTTTGAATATATCAGTATCCGTCAAACAGAAGGTTCTCGCACTGCCACAGGCAAGTCTAGTTCAGGTTCGAATTCAGAAAGGGGGGCAAAAAAGCAGTCAACCATGTCTTTAGTTACTTCTCCTAAACTTGGAGGATCCCACTGCAAATTTAAATTTAGATACCCATTTTAACTTTTCTGGAAAATCAATACACAAAATTCGAAAACAGTGAACTGAATAGAATTCTAAGGATACCTTTGGTGCAAAGTCCTTGTCAACTAATCTTGCCCGAACACCCTATAGAAATTGATGAAAACAAGAGTAAGCGCAAGGGAGTTATTTTAAAAAATGTTTCAAAATAGGACATCAGAAAACCAATACCTCGCAGAAGTCATTAGAAACGTTTTTGGAGATCCAATTCAGAGACATACGATATTCACGAGCAAGACACTGATCAAGAGGCTGAAATCTACCTTCTCGTATCTAGAGTCAGGAAATGAAGTTGAAGTACTGGGTATACAATGAATCTAAAGGGAAGTAATTAGATATGCGAGGGAATTGTAACTCACAGATTGCAGAGTGACCTTTAAACTCAATGGGGAGGCTTCTTTTAGTTTCTTGAGAGCTGAGGTGCACCATTCATTATAAGACTCCGCTTCCTGAGAATATCAACATCAGAATTCAGGCAGGAACAACTCTGTGTTTTATCTCATGTCAGACAAAAGGCAGAATTTAGGCAACAAAGACAATCAGTAAAATGTAGAAATGTGACAAAGACTAGCCTTTCAAGCAGAAGTATCTGCACCTATTTCTCAATTATTTTCTCAGAAGGTACTTGATGGAGATATATTTGCGACTTGCAATTATATAGGTCTTGGAAGTAACAGCTGTATTCTCTTACTCTTGTGCACCAACTAGGCCCCAAGCCCACAAATGAGCAGGTAATCATAACCCAAGTTTTTGACCAACTCCTGAACCAAAATACAATCAGACTATGATATAGGGTATGGGTGTCATACTAGCGGTGACGAATATTGCAAAGGCCATTGTCATATCCGTGGACCATTTGACCAGTAGTGGTCTAACTTGGTGGTGCAGGATAGCACTTAGTCTGCCATCAACTAATTTCTGAAGTTTTAGGAAAGCTTGGTATGGATTCGACTTTGTGAAAGTAGAATTATAGATCCAACATAAGTAGAAGGGACGTAGATTAGTTTCTAGACAAAATATGTCGAAATAGTTGACATTTTAGTGTAATATATAGTGGATTTCAAGAGTGTCACCTGCTCAAATTTGTGGAAAGCAATTAACATGGTGATATTTGGGTATATTCTAATTATGTAAGAAGATCTTTACATTTGTAAAAGAAGCGTTTTGCTCAACAAATTAAGGAAATGACATTTGATTATTTAAAATTTATATATATATATATATATACACTTCAACAAAGCCTTTTTCCGAACTACTTGAGGATGACTACATAAATCCTATATTTTCATTCTGCTCTAAGGTCGTGGCCTCCGTCAAACCACATGTTATCATATCCTCCCTTACTAACTCTATCCACATTAACTTTGGTCTTCCATTTCTCCTAGTGCTACCCTCAATACGGACTATGTCACACTTCCTAGTGCACTTAGAGCCCGTTTGGGATCACTATTGAACCACTTAAAAGCACTTTTATTTTGAAAATTTGCTTTTAAATGTTTTTGGTAACCAAAAAAGCACTTTTGAATGGTGGAGATTTTAGGCCACTAGAGCTTTGAATGAAGTTCCAATTTCTAGCTTTTAGAGGTTTTATATTTTAGGCAAATGTTTTCCCTTTAAGACAATTTTATCCCTTTTTATTTTTTATAAAGACAATTTTATCCCTTCAACCATACCATTACCAAATATAAGAACACTCTATTAAAAGAAATTATTGTAAAATTAGTAATAGAAGTGCTTCTAACAATATTATTACCAAACAAATTAAGTATTTTATAAAATGCATCACTAAACAACTACCATGCTTTTTACTGACAGCAATTTTATGTCAGCTCTACTTATAAAAGTGCTTTACTCATCATAACAACCATGCCAAATGGGCCCTTAAAGGCCTTTAGTACACATGTCCAAACCATCTTAATCGATTTCTCTCATTTTATCTCTGATTGGTGCTACTCCAACCATCTCACGAATGTGATTATTTCTATCCTTTCAAGTCTTTCCACACATCCATCTCAACATTTGCATTTCCACAAACTTTATGCATATGTTGTTTCTTAGTTGCCCAATATTCTGTCTCGTGTTAAAAAAATAACTACAACCCTAAATAGAAGAGAAAAAAGAAGCATGTAGGAGAGGAAATAGACAAAACCATCTTAACATTTAATCAATTAAAATCTTCAAATTCAAAAATATCAATCAAGACAAATTTGCTTACATTGTGACCTTGACAATATCAAAAACTTTCAAAAACAAGCCAGTTTGAATTGTGCATATTTAACCAAGAGTGCCTTATTGAAAGCCTTTCCAACAGTAGGATCAACTTTTACAGTTGCATAATGGGCAGTTTTACTTTTTTTGGAGGATTAAATAAATATATATATATATATATATATATATATATATATATTTTGTGAAGATCTGGAGAAAGATTCCACTATGCTAAAAATAGGAAATTACAAGTTTCAGCCCCTAAACCGTAGCGCGCTCTCTCTCTCTCTCTCTCTCTCTCTCTCTCTCTCTCACCCTCTTTCCTGCGATTTTCAGTGTTCTCTTGTTACACACCCCAAACCCTAAACAACCTTATATACTGGGCTACAAAAGAATTATAGAACCGGGTCCACAAGCCGCAAGAGAAAAAAGGGTCAAAAAAAAATCTTGAGCATTTTTTGGGTCAAAATCAAGTCGAAACGTGACCCAAGCCCAAACAAAATCCGGGTCACAACATCATATATATATATATATATAATTGATAATAATTGTATAAATAATATAATATATCATCTGTATCTCTATTACAACATGACGAATTTAAATGGTTCGAAATGAAGAAAAAAAATTTAAGAATTTTTAGGTTGTATGCCAAATTTTCCTGAAATTGTAGTTCAATCAATCAGAGCACCTCCCTATCAAGGCAGAAGGCAGAAGCTGTAGTTTCAAGCCCTGTCAGTCCCGACATATTTAATAAATACATCAATTCATCTCTCTTTTTGGGAGCCACAAAACCTAGTTTTGCACTTCGAAGGCCTATTATATTTGTCTAGATAGTCAATTGTTGCAACATCCTTTGGGATTTTTAAGTTCTTGCCGATACTTGTGTAGATTAACATAACACCTGTCAGTTTCCTTTTCTAAGATTCTCCAGACGACCAATCAAATCAGAGAATTAAGTTCCTGAAATGGAAGGAAAACTCCTCGAATGTCTGGAAAAATACTTGTTCAATGAAATGGTTTAAATTCATCAAATCAAGGGCATGACAAAACTTGATATACTGAATTGGCCCACAAGAATGCAGGTCACTTTCTACCCTCTTATACTAGCACGAGGATTTCAGGATTGAACAGGAAGAGTTGCATGCACTGCTTTTAAGATCCCTTTTGTTTTAGAAAAGTTCAAATTAGAATATAGTATATGGGAAATATGAAACTTGTATATATGTAATGCAAATATCTCAATTTCTAGAGGAATTGACTCACTATGACGCTAAAGGTGGTTCTGTTTAATTAGCAAAAGTGTGTTAATTCCATTCTTCAGTTTCGTTTCTAAAACTACTAGCATGCTAGATGTTTGTCATCATAGATCTTGTACGCCTCTAACTAAATAAATCTTCCTTATTTATCAAAAAATAATAATAATTCTTCCTTAGGAAGATCGATCATTTGATATGTGAGCACCCTATTTAATTATTTTATGTACTAACCCAACATTTGAAATCAACGTTGTTTTAATCACAGAACAATAGTAATATGTTGGAGCCAAAGACATCAAAATCTGCAAGCTAGAGTGATCATTGTTTGGCAGCGGCCCAAAAAATGATCGTGGAAATTTTAATCAAACTTTATCCTTTAGGGGGCTCAGCATTTAACCTTCACTTGGTAAAAATTTTACAACAGGTAGATGGACAACAAGCTTTATCTGGAGGCACTTTTCCCACCCTTTTTAAATCATTTCCGTTGACTATCATCCAAGCAAAACACATGACAAAGAGAATAAATATACAACAACAAAGCCTTTTCCGAACAATATCAAGTTAATGAATGTAATATGATAACAAGCTTACCAGAGCATCAATAATTTCCTCAACAGTGTCCTGGCTAAAACATTTATCAATTACTCCAATCCTGAAACACAGTAGAAAGCAAAGAAGAAAAAAGTTAAGCAGCAAGAATAGATTGCAATGTATGGAAAAATTTCAGTAGAAGTATCCTATATTTTTATAATTTTATAAAGATAATTTAAAACTTAATAAGTGTGATTATTGCAGGAATACATAAATACAATTATAGATATGAGTGTGCATAAAATGTAAACATTGCCAAACAAGAAAATTCATTTAATAAGAAAGCCCGCAGTGAAGTGCGGCAATGCTGATAAAAATGAAGGGTTCAATTTTGATACACCAGCAGCGTGAAAACTATTGCACAAAGCACATGGCAACCTAGCAATTAGAGAATGGAGATCAACATAGTAATTGTCACGATTCGCAATTCATTCCAAGTATAGTACTAACTCGTCAAATTGTATTTTAGTGGAATAAAAGCAACCTATGAATTCAAGGTGGTCTAATAGTTGAGGTTTCTCATATTATGTGCCATGAGACACAGTGACATGTGATCTTGAAAATCTAGATGACCCAGATAAATGAATTTTGGTGGTTTTTTTATGATATGGCCGCATACAAAGACAGTTGTGTAAAGCACTAAAGCATTTGTTACAGTACCAGCATAACATATATTGCATACAAAATAAGTCATGTCTTATCATGTACAGTAATTCCCTAAGTGCTAAGGTTTCATGGCCACCAGACACTAAACAATCCATAAACAGTTACTGTTTCTGAGTGCTAAGGTTTCATGACCACCAGAGATTAAACAATCCTCTTGGTGCTAATAATGCAGCCAAGGAAGTGAAGTCCTAAAAGGGTCACTAACAAAACTAAAGTCAGTGTCACTAAATAAAAGTAGCGGAAACCTTTTTTTTGTCCTTTTGCAGGGAATTGGTCTTGGGCTTTATTTTTCTTCATGTATACTGCCTTGTATCAAAGATTCATTTCTTTGAAGTATATATCATCATGAAACAAAAAGGAATCTATATTAATGATATTAAAGGAAAGGTCGATGCAATATGAACATAGAAAGAATAAGACAGCCTTTTATTTAATTTGTGATCCAAAAACAGAAAACCTAATAGCTTCCCCCATAAAGATGATACATAGACTTTCTAACAAAAGGTTGTAGAACTAGAAGCCATGAAATAGAATATTACTTATGAATAATACTCCTCTTATCTGGGTAGACAAGGTCACCGTATTGTGAAAGAGAATTCTCTACGACAGTATGATCATCTGTGGTCAATTTACCAAGACGTTCTTCAATCATCGCAAGTCTCTGTTACCAATAGTAAATTTTTCAATCCATTGATGAAGAAGAATGAAACAAAAATGCACGAACTGAAGATTAAGGCACAAAGAACAAACTGCATTTAGTGAAAAGTGAGTAGCAAGGTCACAGGCAATCATTTCTACACCATTAAGCTTTTCTCCTGTTAGAGCCAGGTATTCCCCTGCACACGCACACGCACACACACACACACATTCTCAATATTGTTTTTTGGAATGCATGGGTAATAATTGAAATTCAAAAAATTACAGATATGGATCCTAATACAAAAAAACATCTTTTAGAACAAATATAAAAATAGTATGAGAAAATTTCAGTAATCTTTCTAGCTTTTTCTTGAGGAAATGACAAGTTTATTAAAAATAACCAAATACGCACATAGGTGCACAGGGCATCCTACCACAATGGAGGAAACTTGTCTCTAAAGTTCATTGCCAAATGTAATCATTATTGGCACCAGGATATTAAAGTGAAATATAATGGTCTAATTTACGGGAGAACGATGTGTGCCCTCATTTTATGATTTGAGTTTGTGGAAGATCATAATGTCTATCAAAGTAGAGTTTAATCAGCATTTTCAAGTTAAAACCTGCAAGAGTTGAGTGCAAATTGAAGGAGTGGTGGAGTGGAGACGGCCTTTGATGATCAGTTTCTTTTTTGCCATAGCTATTAACAAGGATGCAACGGTTGCCCAGAATATCAAGGTCAAGTATCTTTCAATTAGGCACCCGTACAAATATGAATAGCAAGAAAATTCAGAACTCGGAGGATTTTCTAGGTTAGCTTAAATTTTAATGTCTGTATAAAAATAGAAAAAGTTGACACCCAAATTAACAAAGGATCATTTTAAACTGTTAGTGCCAACATCAATATCTAATTTTTCTTGATAAGTGATTTTCCAAGATTTTAGTATTCACACCTTAATAAAAAAAGGCTTAGGTTGTTCAACCAATAAACATGTGATATTGAGAGTAGGAACCACTTTATCATCTCTCAATATGATGTATGTAGACTCTTTTAGGGGTTGTATTTTCATGCTTCGAAGTATTAACAGGCACCATAATCCAATAGCATCAATATCACATCCTATCCTTAGTTTTCTTATTTTCTAAGCCAGAACTTTATGTATAAAACTTTAAATACTGTTTGATAATTCAAAATCTGGATATCACATGCGAACTTAAAAGATTCCCATTACAAGATGCTTTCACAAAAAGCTTCATCAAAGTTTGGGTGAATGACCTAAACTCCATCTATATCTCCAAAGGATAGGCAAAAATGTCATACCAAGGGAGGCATTCTTCAATTTTGCTTGTGACTACTAATGCCGGTAGAAAAGGATATCATAGGTTCCATATACCAAGGAACTGAGCTATGCATGAAAAATTACTACAAATTGCAAACTTTTGAATTTATTTATTTATTTGGCTTGATGGGCATCTAAATTTTACCTAAAAAACCAGGTAGACGAGAAAGATAAAAGGAAGCCCCTGCATCAGGATGAAAACCCATTTGAGTCTCTGGAGTACCAAAAACCTGCAATTCATTTGAATAGAAACATTTACATTATTAAGCGCACACAACCACATGAGTCACATGAATAGTGCATATTAGAAGAGTTTGATGCTAAACATGCTTTATAGACTGAACACTTTGCACCTAATTTTTTTATCACATTTATTCCAAAATATCAGATTACTTAAATGACTATTATACCCCTCATTATTACTCCTACTTACCACCACCAACCCCACTCCCGCCAATACACACCTCTCTTTCTCTCTCCTCTATCTCTTTCTCTCTCCTCACACAACTAGGTGCATGAGAAGAAGCAGCAACCACAGACTAGGTGGTCATTGCTATCGACATTCTGGTGTCGAGAGAAGAGACCAAAGCAGTGGCCATCCATGCAGATCAAACCAGGTTGCTGCCGGCAACCTTGTAGGCTGGTACAAGGAGGAAGGGCAGCAACCAGAACACCAAGAAGAAGAGAACCAGGTACCATGGTGGTCGCTGCTATCGACGTACCAGACACGTTGACTCCCATAAACTAAGCAGTGGATGAATGCATGGGATGGTGGTTAAGATTTGTGGTTTTTGGGTCAATATAAGCTAGGTGGTGGTGCTGGGAGGTGTCTGAAAACAATGAAGAGAGACCAAATCCAATTTTTTCAGAAAAAGGGTAATGTTCAAAAAGGGACGATGATGAACTGTGAAAGTATAGACAACATAATACTACAAACTGTATTATTTATATATATTTTTATATCTTATATAATTGTATATATATACAGAGAGATAAGTGGATGATTGATGTTGGGAAGAGATTGAAGTGGGTGTATACTGTGTGTGTGTGTGTGTGTATATATATTGGTCAATGTCGTATATGCATAGGTTAATTATCCAAAAATTTATTTAAGATGATTCTAGGGAGAGTTGTATGGTCATAGGTGGCCAACTGAGCAAGGGAGGAGCTTTTGCTTGTTGACGTAGCAGATTCTTCAACTTTAGCATAACACAATAATGTAAGTTACTTTCTCTCTCTAGGGAGAAGTTTGTATGAATAAGAAATGTGAGTACATAGTATAACCTGGTGTAGGAATTGGGTCACAAATTTTGGTGGTGGTGGTGGTATTGGTCATCAGAAATATATATATATATACACATGTATGTATAGAATAATTTTATATTTATATAATTAAGGTCAAAGGGTATTCAAGTCATTTCAACCAAGTCAACATAAAGTCAAAAGGGTAGCAATGTCATTTTATAAGCAAACATTTGGGGTGTGAGTGAAAACGGATCAAAAATTTGTAATGTGAGTGATAGTAATTTTCGAAAGTTGTTTCAATGTGATATTTAGCTAAACGTGAGGGGGTGCCAGTGAAATTAACCCTAACCTTTATAGCTATACTTGTAATGCTACTCTAGATCCTACATCAGCGGAGGTATCCAAGCATGGAAGAGGGTGTTTCTTTGCACTTGTACTTCATGAGATCAAATTAAACATGCCCTCAGCAGAGTCTACCATGAGGCCCTTTTGAGGTGAGATCATGCCCTCAGCCGTCGGAGCAAGAGTGTGACCTCGTCATTCTCCTAATCTAAAGGCGGAGGGTGCAAGCTCACAATGAGAGTGCCCTCGTGATAGCTTCCTAAAATTTAATTGCAAATGGTAATGTATAGCAGCAGTTACATACAGTTTTATCAGTGACCAAACGGAACATTCCAGGGAGTGAAATACCCGCCCCACATCCCATTGTGATACCATCCATGATAGCCACCTGTACAAATGACAGTTATATGATATGATCAATCATTCCACTTAAACTGCAACACAGAAACTTTTAGATACCCTGAGGAAAACAAAGTTTTCCATTCAAAGGAAAAAGATCAGGCAAAAACACTTAAAACATAATTATGATTAAAATAAAATGACAAGTCAAAGAACCGGTATTAAATTATAGATAAAGCTGGGATATTGGTCCAAAGACAACATAGACAGTTCCTTAATTGAGCTTAAAATTTTCACTGAACCCAATATTTATGACCCTCCCACTTAGGAATCTGATGGTTCAGTTCTATTGCAAATGGAAGAACAAACCCTGACATGTTTCTTTAATGTCTCCTTCCAAGGAGGTATCTTAAGTCAGAGATGTGTTAAGCATAAGGATTAACTATGTGTTGCCACTATTCCATCTCTTCTCCTTTCCTCTATCTTTATTAAGTACATGTTTTAACTATAAACATCAACCTATGTCTGTCGTGCTTGGAGATGAGGATTATTTTCTAGTTACAAACCCCCTTGTACTATGTTTTTTTGTCATGCTTAGAGATGAGGAGCATTTTTCAGTTACTAATCCCCTTGTAATCATAGCTTCTTTCTGATATCCTCCGTACCACTCAACTTTTATCCCTTCCAATATTATTCCTGCTTTTGTTTTGTGTTTCTAGCACAAGATAAATTCACAACATTCTGAACTAATGTCATTGAACCTCAATTTCAAGTTATTCAAGAAAAATCCTATTACCATTCAACATATTGCACACAAATTTCTATTCATACCATCAAATCCAATAAATTTCATAGGATCCCAAACTACTTCTTGACTTTGAGAAAAACTGGATTTATTTATTTAATTTACTATCCATATTGCTTACCTTGGGAGCTCTATGATTTGTAACCCTAGCTAAATCAGCAATATCTAATCAACAAAGGCAGACACATGGGCATTCCTAGGCATCTTGTTTACAATTTTCAGCAGGCTAGTGATTGTCATAGATGCATACAGCCAAGCTTGCCTTTAGCAAACCAGTGTCTCTATGTCGTCATCACCATCCTTGCCCTGGTCAAATTCGAATAGGATCTCCCACCTGATTCTCTTCTTCCCTTTTTATATTATAAGTTACACAATTTCTTAAGGTCTTTTAGTACTCTGTCCCATGGTAGTTTTGGTCTACCTCTTTGCCTCTTATTATTTATTTTAACTGATGAATCTTATTTTATTATTGCATCTTCCGTTCTATGTTGTATATGTTCATAGTTTATACTATCTAAGCCTATTTTTTCTTATTTTATCACTAATAAGTGTCATTATTTATCTTTCTCTAACATGTTGATTACTAATCATGCCTCTTCTAGCTACTCTCATCATCCATCTTAACATTCTCATTTCGACAACATGAATGTGTTGTTTCTAGTTCAACGCCCAACACTCTACTACATAAAAGATATTTTTTCTTATTTTATCACTAATAAGTGTCATTATTTATCTTTCTCTAACATGTTGATTACTAATCATGCCTCTTCTAGTTACTCTCATCATCCATCTTAACATTCTCATTTCGACAACATGAATGTGTTGTTTCTAGTTCAACGCCCAACACTCTACTACATAAAAGATATTTAGTCTAATAACTGTCTTGTAAAATTTTACTTTTAACCTATTTGATATTCATCTTATCACATGGGATACCTCTAACTTGTATGCCAATTTCAAATAGGATAAAATGCTAACAAAAACTAAATCAATTGATTTTTTTTTTCCTAGTTGGTACTCACATTCCCCCCTCCCCAACAAGGAATTGTTTGCACCCAAGAGGATTCGAAAACATCAAAAACTAAATCAATTGATTTTCTTTCTTCTTCTCCTCTTTTTGATCAATAAGTAAAACTTAATGCTCTCATTTCTTATTACCTTTTCCATTTTATTTTATGTTTGCACACATTGATTTGCGAACTGCTACCAAAAGCATCTGCAATTTATGAAAATATTCTAGGTGTTCCTCAATTTACATAGCAAATCACTTACTAAAGATGTATATAACAATGACTCAACTCAGTAACAACGATGCAAAAAATACTTTGCATGAATTATCTTGTGTCTTTAAAAAAATAAAAGATAAATAAAGAAAAGGCATGTCTATGATATAAATTTGGTAATTGCCAATGCAGCCAACAATACAAATGCCTAAAGTCACCTACGTGCTATGCAGTAGACACAAGATACAGACACGATATGACTTGAATACTCTAAGACTACAAAAACCAAAAAAATAATATGGACATGGTGAGAACAGTACAGTATATCAGTCTATTTAAACATTAAATATGTAAGACAAATATATAATTTTAATGAAATATTAAAGCTACTACTCATAGTTATCAACTGACTGTGAAAAGGAGGTGGGTTAGTATTAGGTTGGCAACCGACTGTAAAACCTATGTCAAAGCTTTGAGGAATTCTTACTTAAACTAAAATTTTGTTGGTGCCTACAACAAAAACAAATTCCCTTACAAATCATAAAAAGTTTCCAAGATATGTATATAAATACAAAAACTAAAGTTCAAACCACGTGTGGTGACACTTGTGAGGTGTCCATATGCATACGATTGCACCAAGGATCAGTGCTAAGCCCATATCTATTTACAATAATCTTAGATGAAATAACGAAAGGCCTTCAAAATGAGATTTCATGGTGCATGATGTTTGCCGACGATATTGTGCTCATGGATATCTCTAAAGAGAACTTAGCAATGAAACTAGAAATGCGGAGATATACTTTAGAACCGAAAGGACTGAGAATTAGTCGAACTAAAACTGAGTATATGGAGTGTAAATTTGATAAGGATTCAGACATTGATAATCCAATTGATAACACTCCAAAGCCAAAAGATTACTCAAAACAATCATGCATAATTTAGATAAGAAAGCATCTATAAACCAAACCATCTCTTCTTATGAACCAAATAGATAGTAGTCACTATAACCCCGCTTCCAAAACTATTGCACCTATGCCAAGATAACGGTTTTTACTTGTCAACTAGTTCTAAAAATATTTCATTTAAGTTCTTCTAGCCTCTTTCCCTTATACACAAATATTGCCACAAACATTAATCCATCATTCAAATTATGTTTTACTTATCAAAAAAAAAAAAATTACGTTTCAATAAAGTAAGAGAAAGTTTGTCTAACAAACTGAATTTGATTCCATAGTTTTGTAGAGCAAACTTCAACTGCTCAAGTTAGGTAACCAAATAGATAGTAGTCACTATAACCCCGCTTCCAAAACTATTGCACCTATGCCAAAATAACGGTTTTTACTTGTCAACTAGTTCTAAAAATATTTCATTTAAGTTCTTCTAGCCTCTTTCCCTTATACACAAATATTGCCACAAACATTAATCCATCATTCAAATTATGTTTTACTTATCAAAAAAAAAAAAAATTACGTTTCAATAAAGTAAGAGAAAGTTTGTCTAACAAACTGAATTTGATTCCATAGTTTTGTAGAGCAAACTTCAACTGCTCAAGTTAGGTTCTAAACTAATTAATAGGTTATGAAGATCACTCATCTCCCATATTTTGAAGCAGATAATGGTATATTCAAAACAAGTATTGGGATCACACATGCAACACTTATAAATTTTCACACATGAGCTTTGTAAGAAAGAAAAAAGCCGCATTATACACGACTATCTACAAATGCAAAGAACAAAAATCTTAGATAAGAAGGCTCAAGTTCAAAATATATGTCAAAAATATTCCATATAAAACTTGAGAATGGTTCAATACTTACATGTGGCTTCAGATATGTTCCTAGAAGGTATATAAAATTGTACAGTGTCTTGAAAAAAAATTTACACTCTTCAATCTTTCCTGCACATAATAAACGTAATTGACAAAATTTCAGAAACACAAGTAATTAGTAAGTACAAGTGTAAAATCATAATTTATTACCACTAGTAATAACATCATAATCTATAAATCAAGAAAGTAAGACTGCTTCTCAACTAGAGGCAGATCATATTAACTATTAAGGATTTAAAAGGCAACAGAGTTAAATATTGAGCTGTTTTAGTCTTCTTTGCCTTTGGAAAAAAAACTAAAAATACATTGAGCAGATCATATTAAGGAGTATAAAAGCATAATCGATAAATCGACAAAGTGAGACTTCTTCTCAACTACAAGCAGGTCATATTAAGGAGTTAAAAAGTAAAAGAGTCAAATATTGAGCTGTTTTAGTCTTCTTTGCCTTTGGAGAAACATACATATATACATATAACAGCTCAATATATATATATATATATATATATTGAGCTGTTATATAACACGCAGTACAACTCATCGCCAGTGACACGGAAGTGTTGCTATTTTGTTATTAAATCCACCATAAGCCCAATTTTTTGCAGTATATTGATGGCTACAATCACCGTCCAACCATGGAAACCACATAATCTCCCAGAAATCTGATCAATCATCAATACAATAAAATTTCAATATTTTTATCTTCCTGTCCAATTCAACAACATCTGGACACTCATGTTGGAAAAGGAGAAGGTCCAGGGACAGAAGATCCCGTGGAGGTGACCCACTAGATGTGGAAACGAAGAGGGTACACAGCCAGAAAATCCAAGGGTGCGCCATGGTTGTATCCAGAACTGCAAATAACCATAATTTTGTTCCCTATTTTCTCCAACCCTTGTAACAAATTCATGGAAGATTTTAAAATTTTGGAGGGGAAAGGGGGTGCCAAAAATCGAAGGCCATTTCAAGTTTTACACATTAATATTCAAGAAATTGCAATAATAGCAATCAAATAAAATCCAAAGTTAATTAATCATCAAATCTATCACTAGTTCTATTTATTAATATCCTCTCCAGCAAGGTATGCAGTGGATTCCATAACAGTACAATTTTAAATAGTCCCACACTCTACCACAAATATTAGTCAAGTATGTACATTAGAACTAGTCGTTTTACTCAGTGAGCAAGAACTATGTAAAATTATTCCTAGTCAAATGATCTGATATATGCTAGTAATGAAATCAATCGAGTTTTTATACTAATATTTCTCAAGTTGTTTCCAAAGAAAATAAAAGGAAGCACATAAATCTATTGCAATAGAAAATGTACCCAAAATCAACCTTAGTTAAGTTGATACCTTAATCCGAAAGAATTCAAATGCTGGACTCCGAAAACACACACACACACACACACAAAAGAGGGCGACCCACCTTCATTAAGCAACTGATAGAGGGCAACAACATCAGCACCAGAACAGAATGCCTTGCCGCTACCCTTCAAAGATGAAATCAAAAGTAACTTACGATTCCTAAAAAACCTGGACTTCCAACAGTTGGGGAAAAAGATGCACAAAAATATATTACCTTCATAATGACAAACCCAATATCTATGTTTTCTTCCCATGATTCATACAGTCTTTTCAACCGACCAATCTGGAATGGAAAACAAAGTTTTACAAAATTTAGATATGGCTACGAACTAAAGGACATTACTGGAAAAACCCACAAAATAGAAATGGAGAAAATTGGAGGACAGAGGACACACCATGGGATTAGTGAGAGCATTTAGTGTAGATGGTCTGTTGAGTATAGCTGCTCTTGATTTAACTCTTCCCTCAACTAAAACCTGAATTTACAGACATAGAATAATAAAGAACATTTCTTGGACATAGAAAGACGATATGGCTTTCTTCAAAGACCAACATGGATACAAACAAATTTGAGAGAAAGATAAATGGGTTTCAAAATATTGACCAATTCAAATGCACACACGCATATACATATAGAGAGAGTGTGTGTTAAGATAAACTTGCCTGGTCTTGAAGATCATCGTGTTGGGCGTAGTTGGGTAGAGAAGATAAGGTTCTGTGATGAGAGAGAAATTCATATATATGCAACGAACGCTTCAATGGTAACAATACTTTCAATCTCTGCATTCTCGCTCTCTCTCTCTAAGCCCACACTTGGCTGCGGCTCACAGTCTTCTTTGCTCTGCCAAACGAACTGGTGCTACAGAGAAAGTATAGCTACCCGAGCTGTCATGAGTTCCTAAACTTTATGAATCAATCGCCTGAACTCAAAAACGGAGTGGCTCAGAGCTAACAGAGACAAGGCTTGGTATGTGATCTACTGGAGCAAGCGATACGAGCAGCTCGGGGGGTGAACGGCGGTTAAGAGGACCCTGGCCATACCCTAGCCTCTTTCCAGTTGCAACTATTGCGAGGCTTTTTTGTAATTACCCTTTCACCCCAATTTTTGTCATAATTAACACTTCCCCCATTAATAAAAATTATATGGGCACTTGGGCCAAACAAAAGGATGATCAATCCAAATCTAGGCAAGCCCAATAATTGAGGCCAACAAACCTGTTACAGGCAAATAACTTAGCCCAGTATAAACATCATCCGAACCCTAAAAGCCCTATGGTTAATATATGGTTTTCTTAGGCTGAATAAATAACCCAATACGTTATTTGGAGCGAAAGCAACAATCGATTATACAGGAACTCATCTTCATCAAAACAGAAAGTCATACATCTTGTTGCTAACTCCATAGCTAACACCCTCAGGTCATCATCCAGGGACTCCACCGCTGCCCTCGCCCTCCACCGCAGATTACACCGGATTGTCCATACCCATAAAATTTGCTACACCGGCAGTTATTGCAGGGTATCTCGCTCACCGTTTTCATGTTGGGTTGAAGCTTACCTTGTTGGGTTCCTATGCTGGGCCGGTTCTCTTGGGCTAAGTGCTAGTTGCTTTGGGTTGTAATTGTTTTGGGTTTCTCTTTGGGCTTCCTGGCTGTTGGGATGTCCTGAAAAATTGGCCTTGTAAATTTTCCATATATATATATATATATATGTATATATATTGCTTAAGCATTCGAAAATAAATAAATAAATAACCCAATACAGAATAATGCCCATTAGAAGAGATGTCCCTTTTCTCAAACAGGACTTCACACTCCGGCCATGACACCATGGTCGCCTGCCAAATAACTTCCACTTCCACATCCAATATATACGTATCTATATATATATATATATATGTATACTAATTGATTGCTTATATGTGAAACTGAATGAACCAAATTTAAAGAATTCATTCTTGTACTAATAATAATTGTTGAAACATGCAGAGAAGAACTCCTAATATAAAACAAAGAAAAGGATGTCCAGTCCAGTCCAGTTGGAGAAGGAAATTCTGAAAGTAATCAATGGACAGTAGATAGTGTTAAGAGGGAATCTACGACCGAATCTTTCTCTTTTTACCACTAAAAAGCTGCTCAATTACTTTCAAGTCTAAAATTTAAGAAACCTTGCATTAGGATACTAAAAGGCTACTTTCAAGTCTAGCTAAAATTTTGAAAAGTGAGAAACCTTGCCCTTCTGTGCAAGAAACATGCATTAGGATATGGTGAACCGGTTTTTCCCTTTTTTTAGAAGGGGTTGTTTGGCTCACATTTGTTATTCTGAAACAGGTTCTCACATAAAATGAGTTATTATATGAAAAATAAGCAATTAAAAAGCAAACGACCTGCTCCTTAATGTACATTTACAATCACGAATCTTCAAAGCTTTTATATATGGTTCTTCTAGGCTTCCTATTTCACTCATTTTCAATTTGCCAACCAAAACAAATTCATGTTGCTATCAAGTTGAGTAAGCATGACTCTCCACTAATGGTTCAACTGGAATCGCGTACGGAGAATTCCAATCAGCATCGAAGATTTCTTGAAGTTGAGAAACAATGGCAGGGTTATAGGTGCCAAAGCTAACACCGGCTGTGGTATAGAAGTAATCCCATACCAAATTGCTCGTTCCAATGTGGGCACGCACATCACTAACTGCATACTTTCCGTGGTTGACCCTGGAATAGCCCGGGTAGACATTTCCTGTGCTAGTCCCATTCTGAATAGCAGGTCCAGTCAAATTGCAACCCGGTACAACATAATACTTGATCTCCACATTGCCGGAACAATGGTTATACTTTGAAGATAAGCACAGGGTATTAGAGTACAGAAGAGACTTCAGATACTGATCTGTGTTGTTGATGAAATGTGCCCAGTATGCAACTAGTATCTTCACCTTTGCATTCTTGGAGAAGACAACCTACCATACAGGGACTTTGTTAGGAAAAAGAAAAAGAAAAAACATATAAAAGTGCAAATATAGGACAGAATCAGCAAGGTCAATTTATTTCAGCAAAACAAGCTAGAGACAGCCCGCAAACAAAATTGAATAATATGATCACACAAGATATTATATAGCATTTGAAGACATTCAATTTAGGTAATCATAGTGGTTGAAGTAAACCTAAATTTTGAGAATTTTAGAGAATGGATTTAAACTGAAAATTTATATTTGATGACACCATCTTTATGTATATATGTAACATTCGTCTGCTTTCAAAAGCCCAGACTGGAAGATTGTACATGTTTTTTCTCATTTGGTCTCAAAAATTGCTGAAGGAAATTTCCCCAACCAAGCAACATAATTTCAGTATACTATCAATAACAACTAGGGGAAAAAAAAATTATATATATATATACTATCAACAACCATCTGAGACGATGCATGAGTTATCAATTTAGTAACTACATGTGATACGAGGTTTTAGGGTTCCAAGAGTCAACAGAAAGATAAAAAGAAAATGTGAACAACGGCTTGAAAAAGTATGACAGTGGAACATCCTGTATTCCTCCTCTTTTCCGTTTTGTCTTCCTATTGGGCTCCTGTCCTAATAAACCTACCGGATCAAAGATAGCTGCACCGAGTAATATACTTCCCCAAATACACTTGCTTTAGAACTTGATTTTTACTATGTGATTTATGGCCCTAGACAAGATAGCTAGATTAGCAAAATTAGGAACTGTAAATCAAAAATCAAGTAATGGGTGGAATTGACAAATAATTGCCTCAGAAATTTATAATCACTTTCAAAAAAATTTGTTCCAAAAGCACGAGGCATGGCACTAAAACCTTTATCATACTCAAAATAGAATGAACAAATGCCTAATTCACAATGTATTGGGTCAATCTATTTCAGCCTGATGCATAACATTCAATCCAAGAAGGCAAGAGCCAAGAGGTTAGAAGCTCGAAAAGCCCAAGTAGCTATATTAGTTGGATTCTCAAGTAACTCAGCCAACCAACATAACAAAAGTGATCCACATAAGATTGATCCAGTAAGAGGGTTGGCATGTGTTAGTGTCTCAAGCTTTGCAATGTAGAGGAGCATATGATTCATCATGGAGGCCCACTTGTTCTTGGGAGCCCATAGATCCTCCCTCCATGGGACGGTCTTGTCTCCTAATTAGAGGCACGGCAACTTATCCTTCACTAAGTCAGTAGATGACTAGCAGGAATGTTTCCCTGGCCTATCAGGATGTGAGAGTTCATCACAAAGTACATCCTGGTGTTTTCCTAGTTGCTTCTAGGGATGTAAGATTTTTTCTTTAGCTTGAACATGTTTTAAAGTTCATTCTAATTTTCTAAATGCTGAACTTTTTTGGTAATAAAACTTACCTTAGCAAAAAGAAATAAACAGGATATTGAGTCATGTGATTTGGCAATTTCCTACTCAAAACTAGGGTTGTAATTTATGCAAAATGCTTTGAGTCATTTTCTCACAACCGAAAAGAGATGATGAAGATAAAGAATAGTGAAAAACATGTAGAAAATCTCTCAAACTCAATCGCATATCTAGGTTACGGTGAGACAAGACCTTAGTGACCATCCACAACCTAGGTTTACTCTTAGAAAGGCACAAAGAATGTTCTTTTTCAAATAGGATTATTGAACTTCCAAAATTTTAAAGATCAATTGACATTTTGAACAAAATATTATTGGAAAAACAGCAAGCTTTGCTTGAAGCTTCAATAGATCAAAATTGACTTCAGAATAACAATAAGCTTTGATCGACGATCAATCGAAATGGATAAATAAAATTAGTGACGAAGTCCAGAATACTTTGATTGATAACTGGATCGGTTGAAATAGGACAAAGTGTTTCGATCTATCTGTTGGCACAAAACCTCTCCGGAAACAGAATTTTAAAAGGATTTATTTTCCTATTTCATATGGGATTCGTGGATCGGTTACAAATAGGGGGTCATAGTTAGTCTAGGGTAATGCTTATGACATCTTTTTACACAGCCAAGAATATTTGATTGATAACTAGATCCGTTGAAAACTGAATAAAGCATCAACCAGGTGATATAGTGAAGATCAAGGACTTGAACAACCATCGTCTGGTGTGAGTCTAGGTGTCTGTAACAAGGGGAAGCTTGTCCCACATTGGATCCGGATGGAAAAGTGAATGGATATATATGGGTTGGGGGTTAGTCCCACCTAATAGCTTAAGTTTTTAGGTCAGATCGTGAAGCACCCATCCGTTACAGTTGGTATCAAAACCAAATTCAGTCCTTAATCCGGTGTCAAGTCAAACGTCCGGGTCTTCACCCCAAGTAAGCAGGGTGGCCCGAGCTGCAAAAAGGGCATTGTAAGTTCGGGTGGGGGAGCTTGTCCCACATCGGATCCGGATGAGAAAGTTAATGGGTATATATGGGTTAGGTGTTAACCCCACCTAATAGCTTAAGCTTTTGGGTCGGATCACGAAGCACCCACCCGTCCCTATACTGGATTATTGTAATAAGGCGCTTTCCTCCTAACCCAAAAACTTAAGTTGTTAGGTAGTGTTGCATACCCAACTATATATACCAATTAACTTTCTCCTCCAGATCCGATGTGGGATGAGGCCCTCGAACTTTCTCCCCTACCCTAACTCGCAACACTCTCGATGCGGTCAGACCACCCTGCCAAATCTGGGTGGGGCCCGGACTCCTTTCGGCTAGTACTTGGCATGAAACCGAATCAAGGATTGGGTCTGGCTCTAATACCAACTGTAACGGATCAGGTGCTTGCCCTCTAACTCAAAAGTTTAAGTTGTTGGGTATACCCACCCATATATACCGGATGTGATGTGGGATGAGACCCTCTAACAATTATCTACACCTGTACCATGGGTTTTCCGTTTAATAGATTTTGTATCTCCATTTTATTTTATTTAATGATTTACGTGTTTGAATTTTTGTGTGTGGATAATGAAACTAGCTGAAAATTGAACAAGGATTAACTAAAATTTGAAAGTTAGTTATTCGCAAAAACTATCCTCTAGATTTAATTGAACAGTGTGTACTCTGATGTATAAGACCCTTGGTTAACGATTCTATATCCTTCATACTCATTATCTTAAGACTGATTATCTTTTAATAGGAATATAAAAATTGAAAATGGGATTATCTAAAAAATGGTTAAGAATATAATTGTTATTAATCTAAAGATAACAAAACAAAGATGAAAAAACTCAAAAATCAAAGGCCATTACCAAGTTTTTGTCCCGCTTAGCGAGGTCATAGAGGGGTTGATGGGATATTTATCTAGTCTTTAGCACTATTATGTACAAGTGACTGCTCTTATTGATGCAGGATGGGGTAGAGGTGCTTCAATATCAAAATTCAAGGAGAACATGAAAGAGAATGAGAGAGAAGAGAAGACGAATGCGGGAAAAGAAATCACTGTAATATTTGTATATTCAATATTGGATCATAAAAACATGCCTTAATGGTGTTATCAACCCCTGTATAAATAATCATCAAGTAAAAAACCTCAATCAAATCCTATTACTATAAATAAAACCCTGAAATACTAAGTTACTAAAACATCCCTAAAATAAAAAAATACTAATATAATGGTAATATTATTATTAAATGAAAATCAACCCTAATTATCTATCTTTGCCACGTCTCCAATAGTAGAGACGACACATGCACTTCAAGATTTCGAGCCAAGTCCGATTCTTGCAATTTGGCAACCCAAACTTTTTACGAACCAAGCAATGGTTAAAACTTGGCAATCATTATTGGGAATTTCTTACGAGTTGCAAAGAAGTAAAAAGCTATGTTGCACCCGCATTGCACCAATTCATTTCAATGATAACCATAAACACATCATGTACACGCATAATATGCACAGCAGGCCTCTAGTGTTGGGATTGTACAAGAAGTAAAATAAGTTCAAAAGAAATATCGAAGAAATCACAAATCATATTTACCTCTGATACTGCCGAGGAAAGGGATGACCAATAAACCGTTTGCTTCATGTATTGGGATTGTCCAAGCCAATCCATAGTACTAATTCTGACAGTTGCTCCAGTTCCTACAGATTTAATTGTGTCCACCCATGCCTGTTCATCTGCCTGGTACTTACCAAATGACAGCTGCAGTTCAAAATTATATCAGACAAATGAAGCAAAAATCAGACTAGATGTTGAACATCCAAGACATTATCTATCAAAATTCCAGAATTATTTTTCTATCTTCAAAAGAAAAGGCTGCTTTGATTTTCCTCCAAAAGCAAGAATTAAAAATAAAAAAATACTTCCAAAAATATATATATATATATAAATATCACGACTACCCACAAGATAGACATTTAAATTTATGCCACCTATCACTTGAACTTTAAATAAACAAACCAAAAGATTCTATTTCATCTAAAAATAATTAAAATAGACAAAAGTCTGTGTATCAAATTTTGATTGGTAGACAACTGAATACTGCTGGATAACAGAATTTTGTTTTGCACAAAACGAATCCATTTTGGTGTTTCTAATTCAGAATTTAAATGAATTGTTCATCTACAATTATTTGTAACAAATCAATTATAAAAAACGAGTTTTCCATAATACTCTTAATTAGAAAAAGAACAAGCGATTTCCAGAAGACCCTTTAGTCAGTACAGTAAAATCAGAACTTAGTGAGATAAACAATTTTTGGCATTGACCCACTGACCTCTGGAGGAGCAAATGAGAGATAGCTGGGTTGAGGCTGCAAGGTTGAATGGTTGTATCCTGGAGTTTGAATTGGCATTTGAAACATGTAAGGGTCTGATAGTACTGGATAGCCTGCTATGTGGTGAACCTCTACATAATGAGGAAGAGGTGATCTGCCACAAAATTACACTTTACGTTAACAATATAAACAAAGCTGCAAAACATTTTCAGTTTGTGCCTAATTTGCTTGTCAAGAAGACAAGGATGGAAGTATCAAACTATGTTTACATGGACTCTGGTGGTGCATGTGTAAAGTACGGGCATGTATTCACATGTCAGACTTATCGAATTCCACACAGAAGGATATATGGGACACTGCTAAATATTCATACAATTTTAAATTTAATTTAGTTTACTAGAGTAAAAATCATATCTTTATGAAACATAGTGTTCAATATAAGCATTTCACTTGTTTTGAAGTAATAATATAATAAAATATAATTGTTGGATATGCTTTTCAAATGCACGTGTCGGACAAATGTGCTTTTCAAATGCACGTGTCAGCATAAACATTTCACTTGTTTTGAAGCAACATATAATTCTAGAGCCTTAAATGCCCTCTTCACTACCATGGAACCTACTGAATTTGCTAGAATCACAAATTGCACTACTACTAAAGAAGCATGGAAATTTTTTAGAAAGTACATAAATGTACTACACCAGTTTAATCTTCAGACTAACAAATTGAACTTTTCTCCTACTAAGAAGAATGAAGGTATAACACTAAAGGCAGCCAAGGAAGAAACTGCAGATAGTTCAAGTAATGAGACCAAATATGAGATAGCTCTACTTACTAAAAAGTTTAAGAATTTTTTTAAAGAAATCTGAGTACAACACTAAGTCTACTAAGAGAATTTTCTCAAAAGAAAAAAGAAAAACCTAGGGAAGAGAAGAAAACGTCATATACTGTCACATGTTGGAATTATGGTGAAAAAAAGGCATGTGGCGAGTGTCCTAGGAAGGTTAAAAAGAATTAGATACTGAAACAGAAGATGATGCAGAAACTTTTACTGGTAGTGAACCCAAAAAGGAAGATGAAGCCATAAGTAAGCTTCAACTTGCCTTTAATAATTTGTTTGGTAGTGTTTCTCTTTAAAATGATTATAAGAGAATGTACAAATGCAAATGAGTTCTCAGCTCCCCACTCTTTACTGCTCATGTTGTGACAGATAAGGTCACACTAGATTTTATTGTAATCAACGTAGGAGAGATGCTGAAGACAGAGTCTACTAAAATAACGTAACTTTCATAATAATAAATCCAATAAACAAAGAAGGGGTATTAATAGGAAATTCAACAATTAAAAGAAGAAGAATGTCAATAAAAATGTTAATTCGCCTAAGAAACCTCAGAATACTCAAACAGACAGCTCGTCATATACTTTGATGAAGATTAGTATTGTATGGATTTTATAGATAAAAAAAATAAAAAATAAAAAAAAGACTTAATAGAACATGTCAAGATTCTTTGGATTCCTTGGGGCATAAAAATCCTAAGAAATCTGTTGGAAAATGAATTCCAATAAAAGACCAGATAGTCTAAGGGAAAGTTGAAAGATCACCTTCATCCTATGACTATATATTATATGTAATTTTAGTTTGCAGATTTACTTATCATTAGTTTGAACATGAGTTAATTTTTTCCAAGAAAATCGAAGGAATATTCATATTGAAGTTGATCCATGAAGGACTTAGGACACATAATTTCTAAGTTTGAAAGCTAGACATTAATATGAAGTCAACAAATTTTAACAACGATGTCCAGGTTTAGTAAGAACCAAGATTACGGACCATTAACAGTCAGAAGACCTGCCACGACCATTAAGCAGCTGCTGTGGCAAGATAATAACAGGCACTTTTTAAAATCATAGGAACGACCCTTATACGCAAGACAGGAGGTAGATTCTACGTGGCAAAGTATCCTGATGTTGTAAAACAATTTTAAACATCACAGAGCGTTGTTTACATACTGGTAAAAAGTTCAACTTTACTTGGTCTAAAGCAAGTTCCTTCTAACATACCTGCACCTTTCTTTAGAATGGACAAAGTATGACCAACAAGGAACTTTCCTACTGATCTGCCACTGCTCATCCCATACTGTTTTTGTGTATGCTGAATCATCTAGAGAAGCAAGTTTCCAAAGGTTGTCATAGTAGACCACAACCTTTTCTGCTATTCCTGGACATCCAACAAGATAAATTCCAACTTCCTTCACCTAAAAATGTTGGACAACCATGACACCGTTAATTGATCAGTCCACTAACAAATAATTGAATATACATATATATGCAATGGTAAATTTCTTTGAAATCATGAATGCATAACTGTTAACAGGATATTACATATAATGCCTGACTACCCTAATCTCATTCATTTGAAGGTTAACAACAAGGGTAAGGAATGAGCAACCAAAGAAAAAACTGATTACTCTCTTTAGGATTGGAAAAACTAGTCAAAATTCCTTTCACATATGGAAGCATGGACTAAGCAAGGTAGAAGAAACAGTAATTCAACTTAAGATACCCAAAACACTTAACCTTACAACCAAAAGGCACTTTAACTTCCTTGGTGATGCATGGTGAGTTCTTCATTCCTTTTTTTCTTTTTCTTTTTCTTTTTCTTTTTTCTTTTTTCTTTCTTTTTTCTTTCAAGAACGTGAACATCCTCAAAACAAGAAGGTTTTTTTTGGAGGGCAATCTATTATCATCTTGTGGTGCCTTTCATGTGTTTTGATTTGCTTATTTGTCATAAATGTTGTTTTTCATATACTATTAATGTTTTCTTTCTTCATTACTAATTTTAAGTGCAAATTACTGGTAGTTTGTCATTAATAGTTCAATTTTATAAATCATGTGATTTCAAGTGAGGCATATAACCTTTCAAATGGTACATTGGTAAATTTAATTTATGTTCTTTCTGGTGGACAGATTAGTGATGCTTGCGCTACATTTAAGTAGTGATTGAACTGTTGTAGAGCAACCAGAGGATCTTCTGAAGAGGCATTCTAGCTTATAAGCACCAGCTTTCTGGAGCCATCAGTAGTAGAATAATAAGAATATATGATAGATGTTAAATATTGCTACTCCTTCTGTCCCATATTAGATGTCCCTTATAGGGAGTATAAGACATGTAATTATTGCATTGTCCCCCTCAAAAATTACAAAGCTACCCTTTCAAGTTTAAATATATATATAATCAAGTTTGAAATTTTTTATAATTTTGAGGGTCTTTTATGAAAAGATGTGAAATATATTGTTTAAACGTAGTAAGTGGACAAGTATTTTGGGACAACCCAAAAAGGAAAGATGGACAACTATTATGGGATGGAGGGAGTACTTATTAGCATTTTTTGAAGGATTTCAGTTAAAGAAGATATTATGCCTTCTCTATTAGATTGAAACTGCAATGTATTAGCTTACAAGAGTGAGAGGTTTCCAGTTAATCCAGCATAAACATCTTGATGGTCTGATATCCAAATTTTTGTGTGCACTATGCCTGATCCCCGCCACTTGCTAATCAGTAATGTGACCTTCTCTACTTTTGGCCTTCTTGGCCTTCCTTAAGCAAGGTCGGATGGTTCTTTTGTGTAATCATGATATACTCCAGAGTGACCATTGAAGCATATTGATCACTTTAATTTATGTTTGTTGACAACCATCTACCCTAAAAGCTTAAGCTATTAGTATAACTTAAATATTTAAATTCTGCAACACGCCCCCTCATGTGTGGCCTTCTTTCGGTCCAGTGTTATCAAAGGCCCAAGGCACACTATGGCGCTAGAGGTCCTTTGAAGCCTAGGCACAAGGTGAGGCGTGCACCTGAGTGAAGCAAGGCGCACAATCGAAAAATTAAATTACTATCAAAGCATATTCATATTCCATATTAAAGGCACAAATGTTGTCAAAAGCTCAACTGAGCACACAACAGGGGTAAGTGTTGCGCCTGTATGAGCCTGGAGCCTAGGTGCGCCTTTGATAACACTGCTTTGGTCCAACACGTGTTTCAATTTTAATTATCAGGGTGACGCCGAGGTTTGAATACATGACATTGTTTGCTCTGATACAACGTTAACAACCATCTACTCTAAAAGCTTAAACAATTAGAGAGGATGTAACTTAACTATTTAAATCCGTTAACAATGTTCTTTTTGGTGGACAAATTAGTGATGCTTACATTATATTTTTAAGTAAAGGGCTAGGACTGAACTGTTGTAGAGCAACCTAGGATCTTATAAAGGAACATTCTGGCTTATTAGCAGCAGCTTTTCTGAGCAATCAACAGTATCAATATTACGAATACAAGATATATGTTAAATATTGTTAATTACAAGAATTTTTGAAGGATTTCAGATAAAGAAGATAAAATAATTATGCCTTCTCTATTAGATTAAAACTGCAACGCATTAGAATACCTGAGTGAGAGATTTCCAGTCATTGTTCGCAGAGCCAATATAAACATCTCGATTATCTGATATCCAAACTTTTGCATGGACTATGCCTGATCCCCACCATTTGCTAAGCAGTAATGTCACGCTCTTTACATTTGGCCTTCCTAAAGCAAGGTCAGATGGTTCTTTTGTGTAATCAGGATAGACTCCAGAGTGCTGTAGAAGCCTGAAAATAAATCCAGTTTCATAAGCAAAGAAAAATGGCTAGTTTGACATGTAAACAAGAGAAATATTATTAATGTTATATGGTTAACCAATACAAAGATTACGATTTATGAGTTATAACATTCAAAAGCAAGTGACTATTAGCTATTCCAATCAATTTAAGTAAAGCAAATTTGAATGTAACTTGTGCATTCACATGTAACTTTTAGAAATTAGCATCACAAAAACTACATAATTTTCATTTACAGAAAAAAATTATCAAAAAAACTACATAATGTGCAAATTAGCGAGCTTTATATTAGACTGTCACATCATAACTGTAATTTTCCGCATATAGTTTTGCAAGGAATTTTAAATTTTTGAAATTACATGCAACTTGTCAACAAAGACCTTCAGGCGATTGTCATTCACAACTACCAATTTTCTAAATTTGATACAAAGACTGCCATGTCAAATTTAAATTTAAAGTATGTATATATGCACAGATATATACCTGATAGTCACATTGCGATCAGCAGCATTTTCGATGTCTTTATAGACACCAAAACCTTCATTAGCACCGAATTTCTGCATATCAGCTTTTGAGTATCCATAATCCCCAGAACGAGGATCATCAGGATGGGCTATTAATTGCCAGTACTGTGCTATTATGTCCAGATTCTGGGAAGAATTCCCGGCCAACCACCGAAAAACATCCGCTTAATCATTCACATGTGAAAAATAAATTCACAAAATATATTTCAAAATTTTGAATTGAAAGAAAAACAAAACAACCACTCAATTGATTGTCAAAAAGAAAAAATAACATTAGGAAAATACAACAAACAAGTACATAAATAAATTTTGGATCCCGTCTTCATGCTCTTTTTGGCTGCGAAGAACTTTAAAACTCTTCCATTACTAGGCCAAATAATTGTAAGCTTAGGTCAGTTGAGTAGAGACCTATATAAATAAAAACTCTTGACAAGTGTAAGAACCAGACCCGATACTCTGATGGAATGTTGCGCAAGGTCTGTGATCTAGACTTTGAGGGGGAATGAATAGGTCTTATTAGATGAATTACCAATTTTAACTACTTTTTAAAATTAAACTAACTCAACAGAAATATAAGACATAGTAAATAATAAAAATCATCAATCCACCAACTATTTAATAAGTGGTATTGGTAGAATTGGGATAAGGGGCTTTCCTTGTATTTGGAAATGTAAGTTGTCATGTTGTCTCCTTGTAAATTCTCCGATTACACAGTAAAATTTTACTTGACTGTTATCCATGGATGTAGCCCATAGGTAACCAATGTACAAACTTGTGCATTTTTTGTGGCTTATTAATCTTTATTTTTCTCCAATTGCTTTGTTTTACCATGTTCAAGCTCTCCGTTCTGCATGTTACCGGAAACAAGAAACAAATTTTACTTCAGAAACTTGATTTGCAACTGGATTCACAGGACCATCATTTGTTGTTCTGTCATTTTAATTTTTTCAAAAATGAGATGGTCAACTCATGTGAAGAAGTTGTATTAGACTAGTGGGGTCAGTGTGAAGGTTTCGTGCACTTTCTCAAGCCCCAAATCATAAAAAACCTAAGACCATCATCGTCTTTCTATTCCCTAACATTTTCTCAGTAGCCGAGAAGAGCAAAGGCAAAAAACTGAGGTATTATGCCGAAAATGGAATATACCGAAAAAAGGAACTTACAAACTATGATTTTACAAGTGCAGAGAAAATGAAAAGAAAGAGATAAAAGCCCAAAATTTTATGTTTGGTAACTAAGAAAATGAAGGAGATGAAAAATAAAGAAAATTACCGGTAGAGAGAACGCCGGGGACGAGAGAGAGGTGAGGCATGTCGGAAGGAATTGATTGGACCAGCCATGCTTTGCATTCGGATTTAGGTTCAGAGTGAGAAAGCACTGCTAGAGAGAGAGTATTGAGCAGGAGGAGAAGAGAGAGAGTGGTGATGGTTGGTTTCATGCTCTGAATTTTGATCTCTCCCCATGAGTTGCCGCCATCTATATGTGACCAGGATATAATGGTCCATTGAAATGAACGATAGTTTCTGTTGACTATTTGTAGGACGGGTCAATCTAATTTGGGGTTTGGGCGAAAAATAAAAAGTGACTTTTCCAACAATATAAATAAAATTAGTCACAGCTCAAAAATAAAATATACAAATATATATATATATATACATAAATTTATAATAATAAAAATTAATAAAATTAAAAAATAATTAAAAAAAGAACCATTGAATCTGATTTAGAAAACTCAAATCCAATCCTTCTATAAAAATTTTCAATAGAACAAAAATGCGTTTGTGTAAACTTGCAACGAGAGTGGTAGGAGAAGACTTGTTAAAAAGAATAAAATAAAATATAAATAATATATATATATATATTTGGAAAGTTTTTGCAATTTTTCCAAACTTTAAATAGATATTTAATATTTTACTGTTGATGAGAAAGAAAGATTTTTGGTCTAATATTAAATTTTTTTGTTGGTTAGGATTTATTCTAAAACGTGAATAAGAGTAGAAAAAAAGAAGGAAAAAAAGTCATATAATAAGAATATAAATCTTTGGAGGCCAATATTAAATTTATGTATCAATTAGAATTCGATAGAAGGAGGGAGGAGAGATAAAAGAGAAAAAAAAAAAAGATGTTATTTTAAGATATAAATATTTGAGGCCTGATATAAAATCGGAATGAATGAGGAGAGAGAGAGAGAGAAAAAAAAATTAAAAAATAAAAAGAAGTTATTTTAGAATATAAATATTTGAGGCCTAATATAAAATCAAAATGAGTGGAGAGTGACAGAAAAGTTATTTTAGAATATAAATATTTGAGATTTAATATAAAAATTTTATATTTATTGGAGTTTAACAATATTATGAAATAATTATAATATAACTTAATATAAAAAATTTTAAAATTTTGGAATCTTCCTATTGGCTGGAGCCTTAGACAACCGCCTAAGTCGCCTAAGACTCGAGCCAGCCCTGCTTGACTTCCACGCTTAACTCTTGTTGAATGCCATGGGGTAAGAAAACAAAAAAAATGGATAAAATGATTAAAAAAATTAAGAAAAGAAAATTAATAAAAGTGTAATTCTAAACTCCTAATCATGATTTCATACATGATTATATGAATAAAATAATTAAAAATATTATAGTAGTATTACTTATTAACGAATGGATTTTATATTCGTATCTTATTTTTATTTTTAAAATACTCATTTGCAAAAAAAAATCCTTATAAATATCTTTAGCAATTAACCTTCCTTAACTATCATGAGGGGGTCATTTTAACTAACATATGTTAGAGTGATTGTCTTAGAAAAATTTTCGGACAAAATTACCCTTAACATGAAACATTCGTTTGAGTGATTGTGTGATAAAATTTTCGGACGAAATTACGCTTAAAATCAAAACCATACATTTGTATCACAAAAGTACCCACCACTCACTTTTTTTTTTTCTTTTTTTAATTGCATAAAACATTAAAACTAGGCCTCTGATTTTTGAAACGAAGCCTTTGATTTTTTCTTTGGAAATGTTCTTGCATTTGGGATATATACAGTAATGTGGTAGTTATTTATCAAATGTCAACTTAAATTGATTTTGATGAAAAAAAAAAAAAAAAAACTTTTACCATGTTTTTTTATAAAATAAGATAAAGAAAGAGATATATATGAGAGATCCAAAAATATCATTACTATGATTTTTTATAAAATTTAAAAGTAGAAATTTATCAAATGTGGCAAAATCATCTCATAATTTAGAGGAAGTGGCTTTTTTCCATTTATATATATATATATATATATATATATAGATATTTGTGTGTGTCTGTGTAGCATATCACAATTTAATAGAAAAGTATTGGAATTAAGATTTATGATGTTGAAATACATCAAATTTTATGTCATAATAAACGCTTTTTCTACCGAATAAATAAATAATTAAAGATAGACCAAACAAATATTTGTTAATATTTAAGTGAAATATCTTTTGACTATAAAAAAAATAAAAAATAAAAAACAAGTGTGAAATATGTTTTGGGGGTAGGGGAGGGGGGTTTTATTTTGATATTATGGTGGACACTACTAAATTTTTTTTGGGTGTGCTATATTCATAATTTTTAGAATCTTATAAATTTCTACTTTTAAATTTTATAAAAAATCACGGTACTGATATTTTTGGATCTCTCCTATATATATATATATATATATATATATATATATATATATCTTTCTTTATCTTAGTTTATCGAAATATCTTGGTACTAGTTTTTTTTTTTCACCAAAATCAATTTAAGTTGACATATGATAAATAACTACCATATTACCATATATTTTCCAAATGCAAAAATATTTCGAAAGAAAAAATCAAAGGACTCAGTTCAAAATAAGAGGCCTCATTTTAGTGTTTTATGCATTTAAAAAAAAATAAAAATAAAGTGAGTGGTGGGTATTTTAGTAATACTAATGTGTTGTTTTGATTTTAAGAAAATTTCATCACACAATCACTCTAACAGATGTTAGTTAAAATGACCCCCTCATAATAGTTGAGGGGGTTAATTGTTAAAAATATTCATAAGGGACTTTTTTTGTAAACGGGTGAAAGTCGAGAGGAGTTTTTTTTGCAATTCATCCTAAATATTATTATATCAGTCATGTCCATGACCAAAAATATTATTAACGGGCCAACCTTCAAGGTAAAAGCCGTCAAAAAAAATTATAAGTTTCATCCAACTATTCCAAAACTCATATGAAGTCATTTTATTTTACCCTAAAATTTATGCTTCATCCTGAAATCATGAAGCTACTAATGTTCCACTAATCTCCTGAATAAAAACTGCTAAAACAGTTACTAAATTCTTCTCAGTTAGGCCAAGCTAAGCTTAAAGTGAACACAGTTCATAAGACGAACAGAAAACTGAACCCGTTTCACTCTTTAATCTTCACCCACAAATTCACAATCTTACAAGATTTATTTTCAAGGCTTACATGTCTGTTTATGTGGCAACAAAAACCATTCAAATCCTATACCATTTCTAAACATTCCAAACTGAACTGCAAAAATGTTTGATAGTTACCTTCTCAATCCATTCAGATAACATGTTAGATACACTTCATAAATTACTGTAGAGTGAAATTGAAAATAGTCAACAAAAGCAAAGGCAATTCTCTTGGAGTTTCAACGATCCTCAACAACGATATGGAAAAGGGAAAATGTTGAGACAACTACCCTTTTGAAGGGAATGAAAATAGGGACAATGTCTTGTTGCACAATCAGTAAACAAACAACAATACTTTTATCTACCTAACTACCTGAAATTGATTTACATGGATAGAGGTAATGATACAAGTGGAACCAACAGATACAACAAAATGTAGACACGCTTTAGGAACTGATTACAATTTTTATGCACTAAAACCCTGTCTTGGATCACTTCACAGCTGAAAGGATTAAACCATAATCATCCACTGCAACAAATTTCTCTACCACTTTACATTTCAACTGTCGAATCTTTCTTCATTTGTTGAGTGTACATAAACCCAAAATACTTACTCTACGATATGGAATGTCTCCTGTGCCTTGAAGATGAATTAGAGGACTTGGTTTCCCCTTGAATTATTGAAGTTGGGCTCTGAGAACTACCAGATGTCTCAGAGCTCCTATTCTCCCCATGGACATGGCTTTTACCCACAACCCACAACTTATCGAAAATTCTCCTTGACCGAGATGGCAGCAACTGCACAGCACTTCCTCTGTTTTTGCTAACCTTTTTAATCAGTTTTACGTTTTTCGGAATATCCTCCTCTTTCATCCTCATTTGACTCATCTGTTTCCCAAGGGATTTGCAGTTTTCTGGCACTGTCTTCTCCCAACTTTCTTCAGTGTTAATCGTGTAACGTGGTGTGTCAACGTGGTGGTTGTTGAGGGCTTGAACCCCAGCAGCTGCTCTAACTTGCTCAAAAAAGAGAACCTGTACTACGACTCGGAGTGGAAGCTGCTCATTCTGTGCTGCATGCATGGATGCATCCATTGTCAATTTCTTGACATCCATCAGCCCACATAACTTCTTCCTTTCAGATTTCGTCAGGTTTGGGTGCTCCTGAAAAATAAAAATCTTTCAGTGTTTTGTATAACTAACTAAATTCACATTCAAGTTAGCATTTGTTCATCCCTTGTCATATTCAAAGGAGAAACTTCTACTATTGGATCTTAGCAGAGCTACTTAGTGAAGCTGTGTGTGTGGTAGCTAAAAATCTGAAACAATGTCAATCATGCAACCGGTGCACCTCTCCATATTGTGATGAGTGCACAATTGAATGTGATTGAGAATTAGCAAAGTGGGTTAAAAAATATCTAATGTGGCTTCAACTTGTCACTTGTTCCACAATTATGTTACAGGCATCATAAAGGAAAATCTAACTTACGTATCAGATTTATAACATTTTGAAACAAACACCTATGTGTTTTTTAGGAGTCTTAAAGAATGAAATAGAGAAGATAAAAGAGGCATATGTGGATATAAATCCCACCTTTAGATAGATGTCAATGGCTCTGTACAATGCATCATGAATTGGTCGTGCTGACTCTGGAATTGACAGTGACAAGTCAATGAAACTGGAGAGAACAAGATTAGGATCATGAGCAATTTCTCTAAGATAGCAATCAACCAATTTACCAACATTCAACCAGGATCCATGCCCCAAGACAAAATCACTGGTGTTATTCCCGTTCTTCTCAATGTCCAAATTCCGGCTACATTTTTCACGCATCACAAATCGATTCACAAGGCACTGCACAAGTTCAACATCATAAATAGTAGTTTGGAGAGACTGTGCAGGGATCAACAGATCATTTACAGAAGCTTCATCCAATTTCAAACTGATCCTCTTTATCAAATCTTCTTTTAGCGAATCATCTACTCCAACCAGAATGGCAACTTTCAATAATTTGAGCAAGAAACTACAAGAACAACCCAAGCTCACATCAGAGGGCAATAGGCAAATAATTGTTTCAACCAAAGATTTGTTCCTCCTAATATGAACTTCAGAAACCAAAGCTTCAACGGAATCCGGCAACCATCTGACAGCATAAGTCTTTAATGCCTCCCCAATCACATTCCCATCCATTCTCCCCTTTGATCTCACAGCAATCATAACTCGCTTGTAAAGATCGATATCCAGTTCACATATATCTTCAACCCACCAATCCTTAGGAACAGATTCAATTTTATCCTGGAATTTCACAGCATTCTCAATAATTTTATCTTGCACTGCTAACTTCCGGTTATATGTATAAGACCACTGGACATTCAAGGGATCCACAGAGGTTTTAGATGCAATTGAATCTATGCATCTACCAACTACCTTCAGATCTTCGGACCAGGGTAAAAGAGAATTGGTGGTCTGCAGAACAATAATAGAATCTTTCCAGCTACGGAAAAGACTGGAGTTGAGAAACACCTCAATTTTAAATATTAGGTTGCCTCGGTCTACATCCTCAGTCATCTCAAGATACTCTGCTGCACAACGGGCAGCCACAACATTGTAAGCATTCAGAGTTACAGTCATCCCATAGCAGAATTTGGCACAAATTTCAAAGGCTTTTGGCCCACCAGGAAAGTCAAACAAATGCATTTCGTCAGAATTCTCCTCGTTGGCCTTCAGTACTAATTTTTGTAAGCGATTGCTCTTCGACAAGAGAGGGAACTGCAAGGACAGATTAAAACAATAAACCATCAATCAGATTAGGACAGCCAGAAAGAGGTAAGAAAGAAAAGACAAATCTATTTTTTCTGGCAAGCTAAGCATTTGTTTCTTTTAACCAATGGAACATTGAACTATTTGGACCATTTGGTTTAACTAATCAAGACAGTATCCCTTCTCTGATTGTTTAATGAACATCAGAGTAAAATGACAAAAAATTGTGCATATTACAAATTAGTCAAAATCTAAACTGCGTATGCTTGGTACTCTTTGCAATTGAATATTAATCAAATTCGGCCTTCACTGTTCTTATTTTGAAGATTAACTTTGTAGTCCACAGTCTGGTGGTCCTTCCTCAGTCTTGAGCATCAACTCAGAAAACTGAGTGAGCCCAACCTTGGCTGGAGCCTGGAACTTTGTAAAAGCTGAGCTTGAAGAGGCTTAGCCAGACATGGTCTGATCTTGAGCTGAGCCTAAACAAGAGACTTAGATTTGGCACGCATGACAACAAATCCCAGGGTGCTTACACTGACAGATGCAAGTACATATAAAATGATGTGATACATGACTTCTCTGGAAACAATTGGTGTCTTAGCCACCATGAGAATCTCAAGAGAGTGGAGAAGTTCACAGTTAAATATGAATACAAGACCACCAAGCCAGCCTTTGGCTCAAGCGGTATCTCCTTTGCAATAGGGGCATTCGCTAGTGTGTGCATGTGTATGAGTATCGTACCAAACAAAATATTATATGTTTGTGTGTGTGTGTAAATATGAATATGAGAATTTATGGGGGAAAAAAATGAATATAAGATATCTAAACCATTAGAAATTAGACAGTTAAATTTGCTTCATAAAAGAATTAAGTCCATACCTTGTGAAGGTAAAACTTCACTTCGCTAACATTGATGATAACATCTGTCGCCAATTCAGATGACACATACCTACATGAGCAAACATATCATGCTAAGTACCCAGGAAGAGTAAAAAATAAAAATGTCATGCTAAGCCTATAAGGCGACAACTGAAAAACATGACCACTGGAATTTAACACGCGATCAGCACAATAAATATAGTAAAGAACAGATGACAGCTATATCATGAAAGATCAGGAGCAAAAGGGATAAAAGTTGTTGTGGTCATCCAATAGTATGATAATAAATTTGTACTTTGTGTATAGTACTAAATACACAGAAATCATAAAGGAATTGCATCCAATCAAGAGACCCAAATCTGGAAAGTTTGTCCAATTTTTAGAAACCATTTGTTAATTATCTTTCAACAAATGAACTTCAAAAATGATGTTCTACCATTAATAACTGTTCTTTACCAAAAAAAAAAAAATTAATTCCTTCTTAATTAAATTCACTTTTTCACAGATTACTGTCACACAGTCTGCAAGTTCTATGGATCACAAGGAAACTCAAAACAAACCCACCAAATAACTAGTAGCAAGTAGTTTTACAAAGGAATCAAACTTGTGATATAGCTGCTAGATCTTTATTATCTTACCTTACAACATAAATGACATTCAGATGATTAAATGCCCTCACAGATCATACGATTGTTTAATGAATCTAAAATCTGCTGCAGCCCACCAACCTATCTTAGATGGACACCTCACCACGTATGAAACACAATTGTGACAGGTCAAACAAGATATAGCTATGGGCATCTCAGACATTCCCACTTAAATACTGTCAAACATGTAGCCAACAGGCATGTCCGACTAAGGAGGAGAATAACATGTTCAAAATGCTTATCTCAAACCAGGGAAGCTACCATATAAGAACACACATTGCCATTCACGGGTATAAAAGCAGAATCAGACCATGCTTCAACCAAAAAATGGAATCCCATATCCCAAGATGCAGAGTAATCATCAGATAAATGCAGAAACAACCTTGAAATGAACGAAACATACACAAGTCCATCTAACATAACCATCAACCATTAAATATTTCAGTTCTTATGATGTGGTGCTGATAGAGGTGCTCATCAAAACCCTGTGAATGTTGATAGAACCAACCCAAGCAGGTGATCATTGAAATGCTCTATTCTACAAGATCACTTATCTGCAAATTTTTTATCACACAATCAGCCATTATTTAGAGGCAGCTCATGTGCGAGAACCTATTGGTAGGTGGAGTATAGTTACTTATAAAGGAAAATTTTGTTTACTGCGACAATTAAAGAACTTGCCTATGCCACATGACATTAATACGAGGACCATAATATATGGACAGTTTGGGACCAAACGCCAGTGGCCTAAAACTGCTAGATCACTCCTACCTAGAATGGCCTCAGACATCCTGCCAATTGATTATGCTGCTATTGAAGGGTTTTGATAGGGGAAAGTTACAGCACAAGAATACAGAAGAACTTGTCTTTACATGCTTACGCGATGCAACAGGTCAATTATTTGTTTACTATATACGGAGTATATTTTACAAGGCGCATACTTCAATCCAACCGCCAGAGCTTGGCAATACAAAGCAAGAACGACCCTTTATTAGGTAATGCAACATAGAAACCACACTTTCTGATGTGAAGAGCAATAGAGTTCATATAAACAACTTCAACTCCCTATCCAACAAAGAACAGGAGTACAGGACTAATGAATTAATAAGTTGCTTTATCTAAACTCCTAACAGCAAACGCACAATATCAGGCCTATCACGGGGATTTAATTCATTTACCTTGTGTTACAAACCAATAGAAGTCAGGTGCATTTGCTAGTTGAAGTCATCGGCATACACGTTTAAGATTTACAATCTTTATCCATTGTAAATGTGTAACATTATATGAGATATCTCATCCAGTGACGAACTTACATGTCTAAAACCTAAACTTATAATCTAGCACAAACAGATAGTTAATAAATTAATTTCCCTAATAAGTATGGAAATCCAACAATTTAATGTCTAAAGACAATATTTTAGTGACTTCGCCAATATCAAATAATTGTAAATCAAGGTTAAAGTAATTTTTGTGGTGGAAAATCAAAAATTGCAGCCACAAGTAGATTAAAAACATCATTAAATGTCAGGAAGTGACACATAGGATATGAGACGACATGATGGGGTCCAAAACATCGTCCCAATGGAGCTTGGACGTCCTAAAATTCTAAAAAAAATTCAGCCAACTTCACCTAGCCAAGATCTATCATTGTCAGGTCATCAAAACATTCTCGTTAATCAACATTCTCTCTTGTCAATCCATAGACCAAAATACAATCCAACTTAGTATTTTCATCATAAATGTGATGACCCAACAATAGAAGGGGACCACATAGCACTTAATTATCAAAATTATTTGTCCTATTTCACTTCCTTTTCCAGTTTAACAGGTGAATATATAACGCTATATATCCATATGTATGTGTACATTTCTCAATTGGAATGTGGTGAAAGGAATGTTTACAGAAAAACTTTTACTTCTCTGATAATTAAAAACCTTGGAAATATATATCAGGCCTATACTTATATGACTTTTTCTGCATTTGGACCACTAACCCATCAAAATCAGGACAGTCCAACAGCTGGACCACCTCCTCCCATGTGGTCTCCTCATGCAATCCAAACCCAAACATTCCGTGAAAAACAATGGTAAAAATAGTTCAAACATCATACATCCACTTAGTTATTGTAACATTTTCAACCCTTTTTGAGCTTTGCATCCACCTAACAACATTTCACCACTAAATTATAAACGCCTATATATCTTTCTTTACATTTTTAGCATCAACAAAAAAAATAAATAAATAAATAAACAAGACATTGATATAGATAACATGCGTTTGAAATATTAACAAATTGATCTTATGAATAACATAGTAGAACCAATAGCCTGAAAGCTTCTTAAATCCATAACAACAGTGCTAAATAAATATATATATATATATATATATATATATATATATATAAGCAAACCTACAGAGAGGAAGGTAATAAAACAAGTATAAGAACTCAATGAAGGAGCAAAGCAGAACAAAATGGAGTCAAAGAGCAAAACAGAGAAGTAGGTAGAGAAAAAACAAACAGAGACTGCGTTTGTTTGTTGAAAAACAAAACAAAAAAACAAAAAACAGATAGAAATAAATAAATAAATAAATGAAACCCACTAACCTGATGGAATTTCCTTGACCTTGAAATACATCAGGCTTGGAACCCAACTTCATAAACTTCATTTTCTTCCCAAAATACCCACTGCAATCCCACAAAATTACCTCTATAAACTCACCAAACTCTTCACAGAACTTGAAGAAGCAGACTATATATTAAGACCTTCAAAACAACCACGGTACTACAACCCTCATCTCCAAAATCCAAATCCAACACTACTTAATGAATGCCCACAACTTTCTCTCTCTAAAAATCTCAAGACTTAAATTTGCAGAACAGAGGAGAGACAAAAGCAGCTAGCTAACTCAGAAGCACAAACATTGGAGACCCATACAAACACAAAGAAACAAGCATGGAAGACGAAGCAAGTATAAGCTCTGCCTTCCACCAGCACAACAACAACCTCGAGTCTCGAGCCAATTCATTTCCCATTGATTTCAAGCCTTTATGATGACATTGATGATGCAATTATATTCATAATACAATTACACCCCAACCCAATCCTAGAGAGAGAAAGACACACACAAAAGAAGAAAATTCTCTCAATTTTCTCTCCCCAAAGAAAATGTCTTAATTCTCGCCGCCTTTGCCTTTAATCCCCTGATCCGCGAAGATCTCTTTGCTGTACAAATCTCGAGATCTCTCTCTCTAAATATATGGAGTACCAAATGGTGTATATATATATATATATATATATATATTATATATATTTCCCTATCTCTCTATATGTATAGTATTATGATGAATGATGATCCCTGCATCCTCCTGCTGCAGTTGTCTCTCTATCTCTGAAATTTGCAGCAAATGAGGAGAGAGAAAATATAGAGAGAGAAAGAGTGTGTGAGAGTGTACAGAGTAGGGGTACTGTATATGTATTACAGCTTGGCTTCAGACTTTTAAGGAGCTTTATGCCGCTAAAGCAAGCCACCCTCTCAATTGACCATTATGCCCCTTTGATTCTCTTTATTCTCGATATCACACCCTTCCTTTACAGGTCCGGGTGTGTCCGTGTAACCGCGATGGTGTACTCCCACGCTCGGTATTACCGCGTGTAATCACTTTCACGGTTAATGTGTGTTAATTTAGTTCCCATTTTGCGGTTGACAACTTGACGCGTAGCTTTTCGTCTTTTGACTTTTTCACGTAAGGTTAGGGGCTTTGACGAGACATCATTTGCTAACTTCACTTTTTAATTTTTAAAACAATTAAATTAGAATATTAGAAAGCATTTTAAAATTTTCATAAATACTTTTAAAATTGAAAAAAAAAATACTCAATTTCATATAACAATGAAATTTTTAGAACTTTTATTTTTATTTTCAAAGTAATTAAAAATTATTTTTGACAACTAAATCAAACAGGCTTAAGCATCTATTTGGTTCAGGTTTCTATCAAATAATTAGAAATTAAAAAATAATACCAAAATTTGTGATAGATTTCTAAAACTAATTTTTGAAAAATAAATTAAAAAAAATTTCTAACTTTTTGTAATTATCTTTTATAATTTTTTTAATTATTATTGTTTTTTTTTTTTTTACTTTTACAAATTTTATAATAACTCTTCTCATAATAAAAAAACACACATGAAAGTTTCAATAACCTGTCTAACACTATTATATGTCTAGGGATGACAATGTGCCTCGCGAGAACGAGACTGAAATCCCACGAAACGGGTATCCATCCCACCCTGCCCCGTTTATAAGGATCGTTTAGCTTATTTGGCCATGGATGATTTTTATTAATGAAAACCCGTGCAGGTCAGGAGCGGGGCAGGTAAATTACTAAATTATCCTTATTTATTAGTATATATAATTAGCTCTGAAAATCTTAAGTCACATTCACTTACTTTTTCAGCCGTCCTAAAGAGCGACAGAGCCTTATGAACTAAAAATGTTCATATCCTTGAATTTTATGTTAAATTATTGATTGTCATTTTTTATCAATTTTTTCAATAGTTATATAACTGTATTTGAGGAAAAGAATTTAATGAGAAAGAGAAAATTTGGAACTAAACAGGACGGGACAGATATTTGCAAGGATAAACAAATTAAACAGGTGTGAGAATGAGGTTAAAAGACCCACCATTTAAGCGGTTTTGGGCGTCCAATTTATACAATTTTCAAGCCTATAATTAATTGGTAACAATTTGTTGCACATTTACTGTGTGGTCTAAGCCAGTTAAAATCGAAACAAATAGCCAAGTAATGGATTTGGTCCACAGTTGAACCAGTGGTCAACCCTACACATGAATCAGATTGGATCTACTTATTTAAAAATAAAGCAAGCATCCACTATAGTTATGAGTTAGTAATACTAAAATATATATATAAACATTGATAATATATATATATTAGTATAACTGGTATGATAAAATTAAGCAATATCCTTGCATATAAAAAAGTGGTGAACATTACTTAAAAATTTGATGTTTGTAGATGATATGGTCAAAAAATCAATGTTTATAGTTATGAGTTAGTAATACTAAAATATATATATAAACATCGACTTTTTGACCATATCATCTACAAACATCAAATTTTTAAGTAATGTTCACCACTTTTTTATACGCAAGGATATTGCTTAATTTTATCATACCAGTTATACTAATATATATATATTTTGATGGTTTAAGATTTACATGGCATTACAGTGGGTCAAAATTTTAAGACTCTTTTTTTTGGACGATAGTAATGTCGAGTCTCTTAAAATACTTATAATTCACCATCAAACAAATGTAATGTTCCTGTTTCACATGTAATATCATATGCATTGAGTAATTATCCAAAAAAAAATCTCTAAAAATGGTTGCAACTCTAACCCTTCAAGTAAGCTCTTCCCTTAAATTATTTAGTTCATGATGAAGCATTACAGTGAGTCAAGGTTCCAAGTTTAAAAAGCATACTTTTGAAAGTGGGAACTTAATGACTCAGACGGAAGCAATTGTGGAACTTGTACTGCTATTCCATATGTTTTAAATGCAAATCTAGCTCTGCCACATTTGTGCAATTATTTCTAGACCTCCCTTTTGAGTCCAAAGAATCCATGCCGACCTTAATTTTTAAAGTTAATCATCCCCAAAAAAATTTTAAAAAAAATAAAAAATAAAAACAAAGTAATTAAAAAAAAAAAGCCGTTAAAATCAAATATTTTGAAAGATATTTAGAATCGTTTTCAAATAATAAATATATTTGAGTAAATTATTTGATTCAGATAACAAGGCATCTCTATCTCTCTACAAAATGTTCCAAGAACCGGAAGCATTTAATAAGACTAAAATTGCAAAAATCTAATTATGAAATGGAAACAACATTTACACTTTGTTTATTAAACAACTTTCATATATGTGTCTAATAAGACTATTTTTTTTTAACAAGTTCGATAATATTGTTTGAATTGCACCATTTACTTACCGGACCAAGACAAACTAAGATTTTGTTACGTTAAACACTACTTATACATAAAGGGCTTGATTCATTTTTTTGGTTTAAAGAGCGGAATGCAAATATATAAAAATGGAGTGTAAATATTGCATCCCATTTCAAATTAACATTAATAATTTGCTTACCAACCGGATCAAAACTTTTCCTTGCTTCTTAAAATATATATATATATATTTTAATTTCTGGCTCTTCTAATTAGATTTTATATATCTCTCTTCCCCTTCTTTGTTCTTGCTCGTTACAATTTGTAGTAAGGCATCACAGGACAACAAAACAGACAAACAAAATGTGGAACATGTGTAAAAAGCATACTAGCTATGAGATGAATGACAAGTGACAAAAAAACAAATCTGATTGTGCTTCAAATCAATCACACACATGGGTGCCTCTCGTTGTGTATAATTATATATGCACACATATATATATATCTCTATATATATATATATATAAGCTGTTCTAAGATCCAAAAATAAATAAAACTAACAAAAATGAGAGACCATGGTGGTCAGATAAAGAGAGGGATGGGAGGAAGAAAGAGCGAAATGACAGCTACCAAGGAAGAACTGAAATACAGTAAAATGTAGGATTTTTTTGTAGAAATAGGATTAAAAGTAATTAATTAGGATATCAAATCAAAATATTAACTTCAAGGGTTGGCCTAAGTGGTAGATTATTAAGGAGTATGTATTCAGTGCATGTGTCTGATCACGGATGGTTTTGATTAGTTTGATTCACCGAGCATATTAAATCAAGTTTAAGATTTTATTTTTTTAAAATACAAATAATATTGCAAGGTCAGGCCTACAAATGAAAGTTCAAAATTTATCCAACACATATAAAGAAGAAACTTTAGTTAGTGTTTCGAAAATTTAGTTTGCTAAACAATACTATCATATATTATCTCCGTCTTATTATAATTATCCATCTCGTAAATTGTAACTCACAATAAATCGCATTATAATATATTGTGAGTCACAATTTATTACATAAACAACTATAATGGAACTTATTGTTAGTTATAATTGAGGAAATGGGCAACTATAATGAAATGGAGGGAGTAATCTACACATTAGGAGAAGTAGTGATTTGGCATCCAATCAAGTCTAATGGACTTTGCATGCCATTGTTCTTGGACATGTTGGTAAAACACTAGCTTACATCATGTAATCATAAGTTTCAAATGGTAAAGCAACATTTTTCCATAGATTCATTCTTGAAAAGGTGACTTGGTCTTGCTTAAATGGGAAAAGTTGCTCTGACCCCACCACTGAAATTACATAATCTGCTGATTAGTGGGAACACGTATTGGAAGAGTTGACCCTTTAAAAAAAAAGAAAAAAGAAAGAAAAAGAAAATGAAAAAGAAAAAAGAAAAAAGAAAAAAGAAAGAAGAAAGAAAAAAGGAAAGAAAGAAAGAAGAAGAAGATTCTTGCACCGAATTATTATAAATTATTAGATTTATTTTCTTAATTAATGAATTATGTAATAAATAAGGAAGTGGAACTTCTACTTAATTGTATTTAGTATAAATAATTAATTAAAATTTATTCGGTTAGAGAATTCAATGTAAGTATTTGGTGTAAGTATCACTATTAAAAAAAAATTAAAAAAATATTATAAATATTGCCTACTTTATTTAATATATATTCTAAAATTGGTGATTTTAGGTTTAAATGTTAGTGGACCATATAAGATTTAATTTGATTTGGAGGGACAAGATCATTACTAATGTTAGGAAGGTTAGATAAGTGTATCATCATATCCTAATGGTCATGATTGTGATCTTGGTGGTGTGAGAAGGAAGAAATAAAAGGAAGGTGTAGCATCTAAGAAAACGAGTGAAATAAATAACGGTACCAAAAAAACATGTTGATTCAATCATAAAATCTTCTCACTAATAATAATTACTTGGTCCATTTAGATTTAGGTAGATGTACGTTAAAACAATTCAATTAGGTCAAGTTTAACATTTTTGACGACAAAACTTTGTTGATAAACTTAAAAAAAATCACATTGAGCATCACATCACATTGTCACATTATATAGAATTTAGATGGTTACATTAATGATGAGAACTCTTCTTATTCCAATTAGAGGCTATAATATATTCTTATCTTAGTCCCACATGGTCCATTTATGTCAAGTTTTTGCTTTCAAAACAGCCTAGGATATTTATCCTATCCAATTGAAAGACAAGAAAAGGAAAAAGTATAGTCTAATTAATTACTTTAATTAGCAACACAAATTTAGATAAATGAGAAAAATTAATTAAATATAGTTTTATTTAAAAAAAAAAAAAGGTTTTTTTTTTTTTTTTTTTTTTTTTTAACAGTGTGAAAGTAACCAAAAATATCATTTTTATGCCTTTTGATTTTGGCCTATCTTTTTGAAACGATACTATTCAAAGGAAAGCAAACATTACCAAACATGTTTCGTG